CCTGCTTATCCACAATACATTATTTACACATACAAAGCCCAGGTCCTGGGTCTATTTAAAATCTTGATATATCACTATATATGCTCTGTTATCCTCTGTTGCATGACCTTAGGCAAGAGACAGGGAGGGCTTCAGCAGACCAAATAATGGGTATCTGCCACCAATGACTGCACCTGAGCAAAATAACAAAAGTGTCATAGCATATCTGCAATCATAGTCACACAACCACATACAAATACACCCCTCTATCTCTATGTTTACCATAAGGCAGGATATTAAAGTGGATTTCATCTTACGTACATACACAGTTTCAGTATATTCTAGTTACTGCCCTTATTCCAGTCCATTCTACAAAATACAGATAATACAATCAATATACAGTATCCATTGTTGCATCTACTCATATTATACCAGTATATACAAAAGTGTATATATATACTGCTCCTTTCACTACCTTAGAAACTGCTGTTCTTTAGCTATTATTGATGACCATAAGATGGCAATCAGGTGAACATAAGCTCAGCAGTATACCTACCCAAGGTTCTAAAAATATCACAAAAGTACATTCTTTAAGTTAGCAGTCATTTAAAACCTTCTTCAAAACAGCAGCTACTCACAAGTACTGTATATTAACCAAATGAACTAAACCCCGATATCGTAACAGAAACACATATAGCTGTGCAAGCTCAGATTTTACCAAAAAGGGGCACAGTGCATTTCCCGTTGGTGGCCATAGTTCCACATATGTTCAGATACATATACATTATATCATTTACCACTGACAAAAAAATACACATTGTTCCATAGTTGTATATTATATGCCTGTACCTACCTCTTAGATATCATATATGTCAGTTCCTTTCTAATCCCAAGATAGTAGATGTAAGTCTGAAAAGCATTAAAACTTAAAGTGTTAGTAAACCCAAGACCCTGTATTCACTATATCTGGTCTCCCACAGTACACCAAACTTGGAAATGCAATTATTTTAGTAAATATAAACTACTAAATGCCTTTTCTAATCAACAGTATATAGCAGTCTTTGGACTTCTATCAATGTCCAGCTGAGCACTGGATAAAGCATGTAGGAGGAGTTTCCATTCTGCTCTGACTGTCCTATGAGGCATCATGACCCCTGACCCCCTGTCTGGACAGTGCTGTTTGTTCCTGTGCTTATCACCTGCACCCTTCCAAAGAAAAAAAGCTCTCCTGTAATACACACTACACTGAGCATGTGTAGAGTGACTCCTTGAGCTCTATACTATTAGCAGATGGATTAGGGACAGTAGAAGAAGGGGAGGATCAGAGAAGACAGGATCAAACAGCATTTTTACACAATGTGGAGAATTAACCCCTTAGTTCCACGGTGAATATAACAAGCGTGCTTTACTGCATATACAGACTGATTTTACTGTTGTGGGTTTAGTAACACTTTACGTTTAGGTACATTTTTTGATCAGCACAAGGGATGGGACTTACATTGAATGAGAAGTGTCCCTTGTGATGGTGGCTGCTCTCTTTCAAATCTTCATTTCTCTGCCCCCCTTCCCCCACCTACCGTGGCACTATTAACCTTCTGGTTTTGTAGGGGCCAATACGAACCACTGGAGCTGTCATAGGCACTCTTTAAAAGTGCCAACTATGCCTACCCTTTCTGTCTTCATTCACAAACACTGCAGTATAGCGTCCCACAATTACAGTGGGGCAAAAAAGTATTTAGTCAGCCACCAATTGTGCATGGAGATTTTGTCTCTCATAGTTGAGGTCTACCTATGATACCAATTACAGGCCTTTCTCATATTTTTAAGTGGGAGAACTTGCACAATTAGTGGCTGACTAAATACTTTTTTGCCCCACTGTAAATGTGCTCTATGAAAGGAGAATGCGGACTTTTCATTAATTTGCCCTTCCTTCATTCATAAAGCGCTTTTCTTTGCTAGCAGCTATAGTGTATGTAGAAAAGATAATAGAGCGAGCGCTACAGGCATTATATGATATTAAAATTATATATATTCAAATGAATTAAAAGCAGCTAGCACTCTGGGTATAGGTAACAGTCCCAGAATCACAATTTCTAAAATATTAGTTCAGCGCTAAAAATGCATGTCATAAATTCCATAAACGCATGTGACTTAAACGCATATGTGAGTAAAGTGCTGAAAGTACAATATTATTATAACTAGTTCAAGATGACATAAAATGCAATAAAATAAGTTCATCAGAGCATTTGTGAATTTAAAACGTCTCTTGTGCAAAGATATCAGCTGAAGAAATGCCTTTGATTGGCACATGAAGTTATCCGTGAAGAGTAACTGTGCAAAAGCTTGTAAAAGGAAATCCACCCTTGGTACGGATGTACACTCACCAGACCATAAATTATAATGCGCATTAATTATAATACATCGCACATCTGGGGCTGCAGAGGTATGCTGACAGCTATGGGGTCATCCATCCATCCGTCAGGGTGGGTGCCTGGTGGTCCTGGGGGGAATTAGCTCAGCCACAGGAGCCAGAAAGGTGCTTATAGTGTCGTATTTTATTTAAGGTAATAATAGCAAGTAACATAAAAACGTATCCATGTGGAGCAATAAAATAAATAAATGAATAAAGTACCAAAATGGCCACCGCTCATTAGTAGCAGCGGCTAGAGGTCAGCAATAGGGCTCCACCCAACGCGTTTCATGTAATAACACACAGCTATAGTAGCTTCTATGATTGAAGAGAGGGGCAGGAAAGGGTAGTCATGGTTGGCGTTCTTGATGATTATTAACCCCAGTAGCCATCCACACAAGGAACACTGCTCATTCAATGTAAATACCATCCCTTGTGCTAATTAAGAAAAAAACATTAAGATTTAAGCACCATTGTCAGCAAAAAGACATTCAAATAGTACTAACATGAATAGAGACAGCGCATCCAAGTAACCTCCAAAAGCATCACTTACCTCCTGCTGCATTTCTACTGTTTCCTTCTTCCAGTCTGCTCTGGTAAGCAGTGGCAATGCTGGCACATGCCAAACCATACCCCTTGGACATGATGACATAATGTACAATGGCAATGGCCCCAAATGTGATAACATCGCTGCACGAGGTGTTGAAGTCACATCACTGTTATACACAGTATCAACAGTCTGAACATGCTATTACCAGGCACTATACTCATTTTACTGGTTTTAGGGGGAACGGTCCACTTGCTCACCACACAAGCACATACAAATGTCTAAGGGGGCAACTCCAGCCCAGCCTATATCAGCAAGGATATCAAAAGAGGAGGGATAACTGCTGAAACAAATATGTTAGCATGCGTTGGCTGACTAGGGCAGAACTTTACCATCAACTGCACCACCACTGAAATCCCCTAAAGCAGAGGCAAACACAATAAGTGGTGCAAAGTCACGTCCATGCGACCTCCCAGAGAAAATTACTAATCCTAGGACAAATAAATATACTAGAGGGAGAGATTTGTGTGTGATAATTTAATATGATTGCAAATATGCAATGGTCCTGTTTGTTAATTTGCTCAGGTTTAGTCGGTGGAGACAGATACCCTTTGCTTGATCCCCTGTGGTCCTCCCTGTCATTTTTTCAAGGATGCCACACAGCAAGGCATATATATAGTTTTATTTCAGGATAGTAATTATCTTCTGGGTTTTGTATATTTAAGTAATTTTATAGTGGATAAGTAGGATATCATTACATTGGCTTAAATATCCACAATATCTAATCACTTTATTAATATACAATTTACAGAAACCCTTCCATATCTCCTGATGAAATAGACTTTAATCCAAGAAACACGTTGAGAGCTGCTGCTCGCCTTTCGTTTTGTTTGTGTCAACTGAGATTCCACCAACTCGAATACATTAATTATTTGATAATTGATAATATAATATCAGAGATAAATTGCAAGGGGGAAATGATGAGCTAAAATTGGGAGGTGTCACTGTTGTAACAAACATTGATTGTGGTGGTTTTTTTAGGAATGGATCTTTCTATATAATCACTATATATGTAAACATGTATAGATATAGAGATATACACTAACCTCAAGTGTACCAATAAAGTCCCATTTTATATATTTTTTTCTTTGTACTGGTTTGATAAAGAGATATAAGTACAGAGTTTCAGCTTTGTAACCCTTGTCCCCCCTCCTAGCAATGTAAATTTATGGGAATTGGGTGTCTGCCATCCAATGTAAGCATGGGGGTTAGAACTCTTCCCCTCGTTGTCTAGACCTTGTCTTATATCCCATCTTTGACACTGTTTCTGCATAATTTGTATGATCTGCTCATGTTTGGGTGGGTTTCTCTGCACAATCAAGAAAACATACTAGTAATTCAGAACCCGGTCATGTGGTTCACAAAGTGGAAAAAAACTCTTTCTTGTGTGTGGCCACAGGAGAAAAGAAAAGAGAGTAGGCAGGAGAGTCCCTATAGTGTAGTATTCATCAAGGTACAGGTATGACCTAAACTTATTGAGCTCCTGGGCGACCAGAAGTTTTAAAGTAGATACAACCTGTAATCAGCACTTGTGAAGAATATGTCTATCTCTATGCAGGTGTAGAGATGGCCAGTGCTCGGGGCACAACCCTGAGTCCACATCAGGGACACCAGGATGATGGGATGGAGTCAACCTGGCCAGAAAAAAACAAAAGTGTTTAGTGTTGCAGAGGCCTACATGGGAGGATGGTTTATTTGGTGGACTGTAAAGGAGGAAAAGTCTTAACCATTCTTGTTGTGATAAAACAAAACTTATTAATTCCAACCAGTTTATCCCCCACAGTTACTACCTTTTGTACCACTAGCCCCTCCCTCCTAGATTGTAAGCTCCAAGGAGCAAGGCCCTCAAATCCCTCTTGTATTGAACTGTAGTGTTGCTGTATTGTCTCCCGCAGGGGCGGACTGACAACTCATGGGGCCCCCAGGCAATAGGGGATTATGGGGCCCCTGTGTCCTTGCCCAAACTCAAAAAAGCCTATGAAAAAGGTACCAGGGGCATCTCATGGGGCCCCCTACTGACCCCGGGCCCTCGGGCAGTGCCCAGGTTTCCAAATGGTCAGTCCGCCCCTGGTCTCCCGTTATATTGTAAAGCACTTAGCAAACTGTTGGCGCTATATAAATCCTGTATAATAATAATAATATAATAATTAATGATGTCAAAGATGTATTTCATGACAATTTGTCATTTCCTTAGATATCAGGTATGTAAACACAGATATTTAATATTGCATACTATCATAGTGTCGTTTTCCTACTAGCACATTTTTCAGTATGCCATAAATATAGATTGATGTACATTCCTATTATGCTGTACACAGGTGCAGGTACTACCTCCTTCATAGTGATCCCTTGTCTGCGCACCCTACCCACCTCCAAGCACCATCCCTTAGTTCCACCCCCTACCCAAGTCCCAGTACCGCCCCTTCTAGAGAATTCAGAATTAGTTTGTAAGGAGTGTGTTAATGATAACAAGCAAAGCAGTAAATTAGATCCCCTGCAGCCAGCAACAACAGACCCTCCCAGCAACAATAGATCCTACCAGGAAAAATAGATCCAACCCAGCAACAATAGATCCCCCAGGAACAATAGATCCACCCCAGCAACAATATACCCCCCATCAACAATAGCCCCCACTAGCAACAATAGATCTCCCAGCAATCAGCATTAGTAGACCCTCTAGCACATCCCAGCAGCACTTGTCATTAGATACTTTCAATGCTGGAGGTGCCAGAACTGTGTTCCCACTGAAAAAAAGCCCTGGCTGTGCATAGATGAAGTTGATGTCATGTAGATTTGTACATCCATAACAATGCATAATGTTTAATAACACTTGCATGTAACCATAACTTTTAACATACAACATTCTAGCCACCCTAGTACACAGCTTCAAGTAGAAACATGATATTGGTTTCCAGTTTCTACAACCACCATGGTAGAAGCTATCTCTGCACTAACATATAACCCAAGTTACAAAGCATCTAAAATACCCAGAGTGCCCTGGGGCTTCTCCATGTTATACTAAGACATTTATTGAAAGTCAAACATAAATTCAACAAACTGAGCTATTGTTAGTTGCATGCAGATCAGGATTTAAGTTACACACCTGATAAAGTAAGGTAAGGCAAGGAAGTTACAAGTTGTTATGAAACAATCATCAGTGTTATCAATACATTTCTTCATCACAACAAGGCTGGTCATGATCTTTCATCTATCACAGTCCACCACCTCTCTGCAATACCCTTTCATAGATGGCTCTGTGACACCAGACACTATAAAACATTTTTCTGATCTGATTACGCTGTAATTTCATTTTCATTCTCACAAATCTGACCCATGAGTGTTACGGACATGGTTAGATGTAAACTCCTAAACAATGGATGTAAATAAATTTTATGTCAATGGATAGTCTTGCTGAAATCATTAAAATAAATAAGTATATATTGATTTCTTGGTGATAGTTAACAGTAACAAATGCATTTAAATCTGCAATTGATGCATTTCTTACTATGAGACATAATTGGTAAGATTAATCAGTGAAGTGACTGATGCAGGAAATTAATCTGACTTCTACTGACAGGGTCAAGAAGAATTTTTTCCCAATAGTAGGATAAATTGGCAGCTGCCCCACTAAATTTTTGTTCTTTGTTTCGCCTTCCTCTTTGTTATCTGTAATAATGATAAAGGTTAATCTAATATTTTTGATTAATGTATTAGTCTATTTCCACCTTTACTAACAAAGTTACTATGTTACCATATCTTACACAGGTTCTTGTGATGCAAGAGGAGCACTTTATCAGTTAGCACTGACGCATACGGAACTAAGAGTAGACAGTCAATGGAAGACAACTTGAAGATTGTTGGTAACATAGTCCTGAGCATTTCAGTGGCTTCTATTGTCCTCTGGCAGAAACATCTCAGCTATTGCTGACAGCAGAAAAGCCACAAGAAGAAAGAAAAACGGGGAGAGGAACCAAAGAGCCAAGGAAGACCAAAGAAGAAGACTTTGGGCTTCTTCTGCTCAAACCTATTTTTTTTGTAAGTTAGGCCCCCTCAACCTGTCACCCTGGAGTCGTGGAAGAGGTGGAATGAAGGCAGAATGGTGTGGTGTGAGAAAGGGGTTCAGATTCTTCTGACCACGGTGGGAGCTTTTGCTGCATTTGGGCTCATGACAATCGCAATAGGAACAGATTACTGGCTATATGCCAGGGCCTTCATCTGCAATACCACTAACATATCAAGTGAGGAAACACCACAGAAAGATAAGAAAGATCCAGGAGGGCTAACCCATTCCGGTCTATGGAGAATTTGTTGTTTTTGGAAGGTAAATACATGCTCTTTTTTGCTATTTGTGTTCACTATTGGGTTTGTGTTTAGTCAATTCAAACATAAATGTATTATTTGTTTTAATGAAATAATTTGTTCAAATGTAATTCTTTGTATACAGTCATGGCCGAAATTGTTGGCACCCTGATATTTTTCCTGAAAATCAAGTATTTCACACAAAAAAGGTATTGCATTAACACATGTTTTGCTTATACACATGTTTATTCCCTTTGTATTATTGGAACAAATATAAAACAGAGGCAGAAAAGCAAATATGACATAATGTCACACAAAACCCCAAAAATGGGCTGGACAAAAGTATTGGCAAGGTTGCACACCCTTTGAAAACATAACTGAAATCAGTCGCTTCCTATAACCATCAATAAGCTTCTGACACCTCTCACCCGGAATTTTGGACCACTCTTCCTTTGCAAACAGCTCCAGGTCTCTCTTATTGGAAGGACACCTTTTCCCAACAGCAATTTTTAAGATCTCTCCACAGGTGTTCAATGGGATTTAGATCTGGGCTCATTGCTGGCCACTTCAGAACTCTCCAGCGCTTCTTTGCCATCCATTTCTGAGTGCTTTTTGACGTATGTTTGGGGTCATTGTCCTGCTGGAAGACCCAGGATCTTGGACGCAAACCCAGCTTTCTGACACTGGGCCCTACAGTGCGACCCAAAATCCTTTGGTAATCCTCAGATTTCATGATGCCTTGCACACAGTCAAGGCACCCAGTGCCAGAGGCAGCAAAACAACCCCAAAACATCATTGAACCTCCACCATATTTTACCGTATACTGTGTTTTGTTCTTTGTAGGCCTCATTCCGTTTTCGGTAAACAGTAGAATGAAGTGCTTTACCGAAAAGCTCTATCTTGGTCTCATCTGTCCACAAGACGTTTTCCCAGAAGGCTTTTGGCTTACTCAAGTACATTTTGGCAAACTGTAGTCTTGCTTTTTTATGTCTCTGTGTCAGCAGTGGGGTCCTCCTGGGTCTCCTGCCATAGCGTTTCATTTCATTTAAATGTCGACGGATAGTTCGCGCTGACACTGATGCTCCCTGAGCCTGCAGGACAGCTTGAATGTCTTTGGAACATGTTTGGGGCTGCTTATCCACCATCCGGAATTCTGCGTTGCAATCTTTCATCAATTTTCCTCATCCGTCCACACGACCATTAGCTACAGTGCCATGGGTTGCAAACTTCTTGATAATGTTGCGCACTGTGGACAAAGGCAAATCTAGTTCTCTGGAGATGGACTTGTAACCTTGAGATTGTTGATATTTTGCCACAATTTTGGTTCTCAGGTCCTCAGACAGTTCTCGTCTCCTCTTTCTGTTGTCCATGCTTAGTGTTGACACACAATGCAAAGTTAAGTGAACGTCTCTCCTTTTTATCTGCTTTCAGGTGTGATTTCTATATTGCCCAACTTGCCCCAGGTGAGTTTACAGGAGCATCACATGCTAACATTCTTGTAAACATTTTATACGCGCATTGTGAAAGGGTGCCAATACTTTTGTCCAACATTATGTCGAATTTGCTTTCTTTCCTCCCTTTTTTTGTTTTGTCCCAATACACACAAAGGGAATAAACATGTGTATAGCAAAACATGTGTTAATGCAATACGTTTGTGAGAAATACATGATTTCCTGGAGAAATATCAAGGGTGCCAACAATTTCGGCCATGACTGTATATTACCGACTGGTATGTTCCAATTGAATTTATAATGGCAGCACAATCTACATATATGCATATCATTTGAAGATGAATTCCAGGAATTGAGCTACTTTGAAAAATGTGCAGGCATACTATGAGTTAAGTTTATTGAGGTGCATGCCACCTCATGGAGTTATCTCTTTATTTACAGCTGACAGTTTTCTCGCTATCGCTCTCACTATCCTTCTTTTTTTTTCCCCAAATAACCTTTTATGAAAGTTTTTTTTTGCTTTACATTTAACAAAACCAACCAAACAAACTAAACAAAAGTAAAATAAATACAGAAAGAAGCCAAAAAGTCTCCTCACATGGTACAATGGTAATCATACTCATACAACTGCTCAAGGAAGTAAAAGCAAGAAATGGTATCAGTACAGCACACATACACTGCAAATCTGATATAAATCAGTTAAGCATTAATTGCCAATAGAGACCACTCCTCGCTATTGTTCTGGAGCTCCGATGACACTGGTCCTTCTGGTTTCAGCTATTGTGCCTGCCCCATGCTTGTGCTGCCCATTCACAGATGCCTTTGAAGTTTGTGAACAAAGGCTTCTGTGATTGGGCAGAAGAGCGGAGAGGCAGGCAGAGATGTGCTTCTCTCCTCACAGAGCCCAGGAATGTATCCTCTGGGAGTTCAATAAAACTGTCATATCTAAATTAAAGAGATAAGTCCAGGAGATGTATCCTCCTAATGAAGGATTTATTCTTCAATGCTTTACAGTGCTGGAGCACCAGAATATGCCAGAAGAGGTGGCAGGAGCTGGTAATGGTGGAAAGTATTTTTTTTTTTTTTTTGGGCTGGCTGACACTTTAAAAGTTAGGGCTCTGATGTGAAGAAGGGAGTGTGCGATTTGGGGGGGAGGGGGTTCTGTGATAGGAAGGGTCTGTGTGACTGGGGGGCTATGTGATGGGGGAACTCTGTGGTAATGGGGGGACTCGTGTATAGACACATCTGATGTGTTGGGGCCACACTGATGTGACAGAGCTGTATGTATAGAGTGGCCTCTGAAGTATAGAGGGGATTCTG